AAGGGGACGCGGTGCCCTGCCGAAACTGTTTACAGTGGAGTTGGGCAGCTGTTGACCTTAACTGGGGATATTGTCTGACAGTGGAAGGAATACTTCGAGGATCTTCTCAACACCAGCATCACGTCTTCCAATGAGGAAGCAGAGGCCAGGGGCTCGGAGGCGAACTCATCCATCACCCAAGCTTCTCAGTGGCAAGGCACTGGGGGTGGATGAGATTTGCCCTGAGTACCTTAAGTGTCTGGATGTTGTGGGGCTGTCTTGGCTGACATGCCTCTGCAACAACATGTGGCGGTTAGGGACAGTGCCTCTGGATTGGCAGACTGGGGTGGTGGTCGCTGTTTTCATGAAGTGGGACCGAAGGGTGTGCTCTAACTACAGGGGGATCACCCTTCTCAGCCTCCCCGGGAAAGTCTATGCCAGGGTACTGGAGAGGAGAATTCGACCGATAGTCGAACCTCGGATTCAGGAGGAACAATGCAGTTTTCGTCCTAGCCACAGAACACTGGACCAGCTCTTCAGGGTGGTGGAGGGCTCATGGGAGTTTGCCTAACCAGTCCACATGTGTTTTGTGGATTTGGAGAAGGCATTCGACCATGTTCCTCGTGGCGCCCTGTGGGAGTGCTCCGGGACTATGGGGCCCTCTATCGAGGGCTGTCCGGTCCCTGTATTCTAGGTGCAGCCAGGGGCCGGAGGGAACCCAGTTTGGGAACCACAGGATCACGTCTCTGCTTTTTGCGGAGAACGTCCTGTTGGCTCCATCAAACCAGGACCTTCAGAGTGCACTGGGATGGTTTGCAGCCAAGTGTGAAGCGACTGGGATGAGAATCAGCACCTCCAAGTCCGAGGACATGGATCTCAGTCGGAAAAGGGTGGCTTGTTCCCTTGGTGGAGAGTTCCTGCCTCAAGTGGAGGAGTTTAAATATCTTGGAGTCTTGTTCATGATTGAGGGAAGGATGGAACGGGAGATTGACAGGCGGATCAGTGCAGCTTCTGCCGCAATGGGGTCGATGTAACGG